TATTGATTTTTGACATTTGGAGTATTCAGTGTCCTGCCTGCAACCTTGGGCTCGACCTTTAAAACACCATTTATGACAGAATGACCGGCTCACACAAGAACCCAGCAGGCTGTCAGTTCTTTGCGGCGCTGACAACAGCAGACTTCCAGCAGCTCCGCAAGGTAATGCGACATTATGTGGACACAGTGGCTTCCTCCCATGATCTGAAGCTGAGATGGGCAGTACTGAGGATATGATGGACGAGTTTGTTTGCCTCCCTGGACTATGTGACTCCCCTGGCATGAAGGAGATTCTTATGGAGGTTTTTGAGGAGAAACGCATGTTGCGCGCTCGTCTCCTACCACCCCCCTCTCCAAGCCCTGCGAGTCCAGTCCGTCACCCGAGTTGCTAGAACAACCAGCTCTTCATACTGTTCCTCTAAATGCTTCATCTCGCCACCATCATTGTAGAAGAGAACATCAGACTCTAAATCGCTCCACCGAACATGCAGAAAGCTCTGATGCCAGTGGTCACGAGCCACCTGTTTCCTGCAGTACCGAGAGGGTCCAGAAGGGCTCCTCCCCCTCCTCTACAACTTTGGTGCTTCCCGTGCAGTCCCACACACAGCCGGAGGAGCAGTGGGGAGTTTCACAAGAGGAGGAGCACCCGACCGCTCACTCACCAAAGAAGCAGTCGAGCTGTGGCTCACCTGAAGCTGCGCCACCAGAACCTATAAACGTGTCGTCAGGGAGTATGTGAACTCTACTGATCAGTCTCCCGCTGACCTTGTTGCTTTAAACACACAGCTCCAATGACTGTTCACTTCTGCTGCACACAACCTAGATCCACAGTACCAGTACACCACTTACTCCATCGCTGAGAGACTATTGCTGTCTATACTCTGACTCATTCAGATCCCTGAGTATTTCCACATGCTCAATAAAATAAGGTCTTCTAAAGAACAAATCATTGTTCCATCCACCTCCAACTCACCTGTGCAACCACTGAACCTACCAGACACACCTGTTCCTTGTGTCTGCAAGAGGTCCCAGGACACCTCTCACCACTACTCATCTGAAGGGTCTGCTTCAGCTGGTCCAGAGTCTCCACAGTCTGCTGCAGCCGGTCCAGAGTCTGCTGCAGCCGGTCCAGAGTCAGCTAAAGTCTCGACGTCCGCAGAGGTCCCCAGGTTGACATCCACAGAAGACTTGACGTACGCAAAGGTCCCCAGGTTGACGTCCGCAGAAGACTCGGCATCCGCAGAGGTCCCCAGGTTGACGTCCGTAGAAGACTCGACGACCACGGACGTTTCGACGATTACGAACGCTTTGACGACTACAGACGCTTTAACAACTACAGACGGTCTCACAGCCACCAAAGCAGCTCCTGAAGTGGTCTCCACATCCATGGAGGTTTCAAGGTCTGCAGAAGAGTCGACAGCCTCGATGACCATTGACAACTCAACGCCCCCTGCTGCAACCCCTGAGACGGCTACGCCCCCTGCTGCAACTGCTGAGATGGCTATGCCCCCTGCTGCAGCCCCTGAGACGACTACATCCCCTGCTGCAGCCCCTGAGACGGCTACGTCCCCTGCTGCAGTCCATGAGATGGCTACGCCCCCTGTTGCAGCCCCTGACATGGCTACGCCCCCTCCTGCAGTCCCAGAGACAGCTACGTCCCCTCCTGCAGTCCCAGAGACGGCTATGCCCCCTGCTGCAGCCCCTGATATGGCTACGCCCCCTGCTGCAGCCCCTGACACGCTAAGCCCCCTGCTGCAGCCCCTGACACGGCTACATCCTCTCCTGCAGTCCCAGAAATGGCTACGTCCCCTCCTGCAGTCCCAGAGGTGGCTACATACACTCCTGCAGTCACAGAGATGGCTGTACCCCCTTCTGCAGTTCCCGAGACAGCTACGCCCCCTCCTGCAGTTTCTGCTGTAGTTACTGAAATGGCGAAACCACCTACAGTTTCCCTGGGTTCGGCAACACCTGTAGAACCCATGGTTCCTCTATTCCTATTCGCACGTGCCAAATGGTCATTGTCCCTTAGGGTGTCCATCGGCAACTCACAGGACTTGTCGCCCTATGCTGGACGGCCTCCCGGCCGCCTACCAGAACCGCCTCCACATTACTGACAAGCTCCCTGTCATCCCTGGGAGAGATGGTTCCACACTGGACAGTCCTCAGACCACCTAACCACCCCGTTTTAGTGTTTTTGCCCTTTTGTGTTCAGTTCCCAGGTCCACCCTGTCGGTTTATTGTTTTGTTTTTTTCTCCTAGTGTGTTCCCCTAGCGCCCTCCATCCTGGTAGTTACCTCACACCCAAATTTTTTTGGGGTGGGTTCTTGGAGACTTCAGGTGACGTCCTTGGGGGGAGGTACTGTATTAGTCCTGGCCTCCTGTCTCCTCTTAATGTGTTCTTCCTGCTCCCACCTGTCATCATTCCCAGCTGATTGTCATTGTCCTCATTAGTGTGTGTATTTAAGCCTGTGTTCCTCACTCCTTGTCAGCCGGTCATTGTCTCTTCATGTCAACCTTGCTCCCTGTATTTCCCAGGATCACCTGTAAATGTGAGTTTTGCTGCCATGTCAGTATGTTTATTTAATAAATCATATTGATTTTTGACATTTGGAGTATTCAGTGTCCTGCCTGCAACCTTAGGTTCGACCTTTAAAACACTGTTTATGACAGTTTGAAGTGAAGGAAACAGAGATCATCTGGTCCACACAAATACCAGAACTTCATGAGGTCTTCTTTGTTTGATGTCAGAGTCGCTCTATGGCAGTGCTTCTCAATTATTTTCGGTTACGCCCCCCCCT